TGTGTTAGCAATTAATCTCCCAGTTTATTCAATAAAATCGTTCAAAATTATTTACCTTTTATTTAAACAGAAACTTAAGGAAACTGGGCACAGTCTCCCTTATATCAAATCCCATGTTCACAATGCTTGTTCTACAACCTGTAGTTGTAGAGCTGATTAGACAATTAACTTGGGAGAGTACACTTTCTAACCTTAGAATTAACAACAGTGTCAAACACATTACAGTTGCAAAGTAGGCCCTTGATAATATTTCAGAAACTGTGCTGAACACATGTAGCATCTTGGAAGTGCTTGAATAGCTTTCTGTTGCTTGAATAGTCCACTCAGATTTCAGACCCTGCTAGGAATCATCAACCAGCCATGGATGAAGCGCTGATAATAGAATGGTTGGTTATTCATCACAAACCATAACAATTCCCAAGAAAATTATTTCCAGTCTTTCTTTTCTAAAAAAATCTTCGTGTATTTTGAATTATAGTATGAATTAAGGAAAATATTTATTTCTCTGGAAGGATACTGGGAAAAAATAACAAATTTATCTTTGTTGTTGTTGTTTTGTTTTGTTTTTTATTTCCACCCACAGCATTGAAAAATATGCCCTTTCTCTGAGATATGAATTAGCATTCATATCGCTTTTCAGGGCAAATCTATGTTTGTGGCCTGATAGGGTTTGGCTTTGTGTCCCCATCCAAATTTAATTTAGATTTGTAATTCCCATAATCTCCATCAGTCAAGAAAAGGACTTGGTAGGGGGTAATTGGATTGTAGGGGTGGTTTTCCCCATGCTGTTCTCCTGATGGTGAGTTCTCATTAGATCTGATGGTTTGATAAGGGGCTTCCCTCTTGGCTCTCTCTTGCCTGCCACCTTGTAAGACATGCCGGCTTCCTTTTCTGCCATGATTATAAGTTTCCTGAGGCCTCCACAGCCGTGTGGAACTGTGAGTCAATTAAATTAAACCTCTTTTTTTTTTTTTTTTTTTTGCAGTTTACCCAATCTCAGGCAGTATTTTCATAGCAGGGTGAAAATGGACTAATACATGGCCTTAGTGAAAAATGGAATGTGGTTTTCAAGCTGAAATAGCCAGTTGAAGAATTTTTTATATTCCCTCTTTTCTCCCTTGCATGCTAATCTGAATACTATTTTTTATAATGCCTCAGTTTTCCCATGTATGAAATGGGGATTGTGTTGGTTTTCTATTGCATAACAAATTACCAAAAATTTAGCGGCTTAAATCAATACTCATTTACGTGCTCACAGTTCTGTAGGTCAGAAATCCAGGGATGGCACGACTGGGTGCTCCACTCAGCTCTCACAAAGATGAAGGTGTTAACTGTGGCTGTGAAGCCATCTGAGGCTGTCTTCCAAGTTCATGTGGTTGTGGAAGATTTCTTATGGTTGTAGAGCTGAGGTTGTATTTATTTGCTAGTTGTCAGCTAGGGGCCATTCTCAACATTCAGAGGCCACCCAGGCACCTCACCCCATGACCCCTCCACATCTTTAAAGCCAGCTGTGGACAATCTCCTTCATGTTAAATCCCTCTAATGCTTCAAATCTCCTTTGCCAATAAGAGCCTAGGTCTTTTTAAGAGCTCTCCTGATTAGCTTAGGCCCACTGAAAATAATCTGTCTTTCTTCAAGTCAGCTGATTTGGGACCTTAATTACATCTACAAAATCCCTTCACAGTAGCACCTAGATTAGTATTCACTTGAGTATCTGAGAGAACACCTGTCTACCAGAGGGTGAGAATCTTGGGTGCCCTCTTAGAATTCTGCCTACTGGCTGGACACAGTAACTCACAACTATAATCCCAGCACTTTGGGAGTCTGAGGCAGATGGATATCTTGAGCTCAGAAATTCAAGACCAGCCTGGGCAACATGGCAAGATCCTGTCTCTACAAGCTGGGCACGGTGGAGTACACCTGTGGTCCCAGCTACTGAGGAGGCTGAGGTGGGAGGATTGCTTGAACTTGGGAGGCAAAGGTTGCAGTGAGCTGAAATTATGCCACTGCACTCTAGCCTGGGTGACCGAGCGAGATCCTGTCTCAAAAAAAAAAAAAAAAAAAAAATGTGTCCACCAAAGGATAACAGTAATACCTTAGAGTATTATTAAATGGATTGAGACATGTGTAAAGCACTTAGCATGCTCAACAAATGAGATGAGGCTGAACAAATGGGATCTAGTATTATTAATGTCTCTGTATACTATATTTTCTTGCCTACATGGATTTTTAAATTATAGTGTTACAAGTACACTAGAAACATGAGAGACTATGTTTCTCATTATTTGGATACTCCACAGAAAGCAGAGATACTGGGGCCACATGAAACTCACAGAATCCAATGTTTAGTCTATTTGCTGAAAGTTGATGAATTCAAATTATTTAAAAACTACGGTAAAAGACCAGGATATCATTCATATTGGTACTCAAGCCCATCTATAATGTGGCATAAAATGAAATATGTATGGGTCTCTGCATTGAACATTTTTTTGCTTTAGCAAGAGAAATACATCACAGAATCCATGCCTTAAACACTGACATTTTTCAGAAAGAATTGTTTCTACTCATGCTCTGAATGTAAAATGAATACTTCAAATGCTCCATTCATGCAAAGGCCTTTATGTCCCCTTTCTCTCTGCAATAGTTCCAGTCTAGAATAGGCAACATTATGCAATTTGGTGACCCTGCTGCAACAATGGAAATGCTTCTCACAGGCTGTGGGAAAAAGATACCTTAAGGGGTTAACAGTAATATTTTGCACATTGAGGCAAGTGAAGAAAAAAATACATTAGCATAAGAAAAGATAGCCGTAGGGAATTTTCCACTCAAATGTTTGGTACTAAGAGTTCCATGTTACCAAGGAGGAGGCTACAGAAGAAAACCCTTAGTGTCTACCGCATTCTTGAACTACATTGCCATTGTATTCATTCTACGGGTGAGAAAGACCTCATAGTTAGAGAGATGGAAAATTGTTCTTTCTGGTAAGAAATGTCAAAATTGAATATACTAAGAAAAGCATCTTGGATTGTTGCAACAAAGCAAGAGGATTCCTCAGGAACAGTCCCCAAAAGACTTCCTAAATGTGTCAGGAGTAGACTAGGGGTTAGAGATTAAAAGTGAAAAGCTTAAACAATGACTTTAATTTTTAACTAGAATGAGCCCCAAATGTGTGCAATTAATTTAACTCAAATTTAACAGTTTTTACTCATTTTAGAAATTGTGTACCTCACAGTATGTGAATGCAGTTAGCAGATATTTCCCTTTTGTTAATACATGATTATTTGAAGATTGTTCTGTAGGAAATATCCAAACTGGAGTTGCAATTATTTTTGTTGAAAACATCCAAAATAAGTGTAAAAGGTTCTCACTGATTTAAGATAGAAAATATACTAATGGCTACCTGTTTCTATGAAGATGTTGAATTGGTTTTTAAATCAATCTTTACTCTTAGAAATGACTGGCCAGTAAAAAAAAATGATTTATTTAAGTCTCAGTTTCATTGGGTTTAACACTACAATAAGCATAACTGTTTAAATAAATCGTGATACATTTTGTTAAGATAGAGAAGGACCGGCTTATTTTAGATAACAAATTGTTTATGGTATTAGGCACTGATATCTATAGGAGGAATGGAAAAAGATGTGTTATTTTGTCTCTGAAAAAGATCTTCCCCAATTAAGAAGATGTAATTTTTGGTTATTAAAGATAAGAATAGCATAAAATCAAAGATCATCCAAGTCCTGCAAAATTTATCCGGAAGCTGATAATAAAAGTACTTAGAAGTCAATGTAAGCTCAATTTTCAGGGAATTGTGTCAGGAATCAATTGAGAAAGATGTCCTATGATCTTTCCATCATATGCAGATTCTTTTCAAAGTTTCTGTGGAATAGTGACCTTGTTTATCTTGTGCCTTCCTTTGTTTATTCAATTTATGTGTGAACATTAAAGAGATTAAGTTTTCAGGTCTTTATCCCTGAGAAGATGACACAAATGAATTTGCTTTCCCAAGCACAAAAAAAACTCTATGGTAGTCAATAAGGAAAGTCATTCTAAACTGAAGCTTGAGGGAAAAGGAAGAAGAGGGGAGAGAATTTAAAAAGTACCAAGGAACATCATTCCTTTAATGCTGAAATTTTTATAACAGGATTTTGCTACTTTTTGAGATGTTATGAATATTGCATCCCATATTAATATAAGTAAAAAATGCATTCCACAACTGAAGTGAAATACTTTTTGATAATTCATGTCATGGTTTCTTAATCCTAGTATAGAAACTTGAGAAATGGTTATAGACCAAGACACTTTTCAGTGTAAATTTGACACTTTTATTCCCCATGCTTGTTTACAAGACGTGCTATTCATTGGATAGTTCCTGGAGAAGAGGAGTCAGTATGTAGCGGCCATTCATTCATTAATAACAGATCATTTCAATGCACATGGGAGGGGGTGGGAATTATTTTTTAATCTGGGAACGGGCTCTAAGCCACTAAATACGTTATCGATACTCTGAATTACTCCTTGTGAAAGGAGTTTTTAGGTCCACACTTTTACCATAGTCTGTCTGTAATCCAGCTCTTTCCTACATTTTTGTGACCACATTTTCTGATTCTATAATGAGAAAGTAAAGTGAAAAGAGCTAACCTGTTTGAGTCTAAATGACAATAGTAGATTAGAATGCTCACTTATTTAGACATAGAATCATAAAGATGGAAAGCAACTTAGTGATGATGACTTACACTCTGCTCGCTACGTACCTAACACCCCTCATTTCAAAGAGGGAAAGTAAAGCACATAAGGTCTTGTTATTTTACTTCTTGTACTTTTTTCTCTCTGTTCAGGAATCAAAAGACTATGTTCTTTCCTGATCTTTTTTTAGTTGAATTTAGAATTTCCTATTTCATTTTCCAACCTGACTCCCTTTTTGTCTAGAAATATGGATACTTAGACATATTGCCTGTTTACTTTGGAATTAGGGTACATTAATTTTCTTCCTTTTACAGTATGCAGAACTAAGTCAAGCTTCCCTTGATGCAATAACCCACAGATATCAAAACCCATGGTAAGCAAATATGAATATATTTTTTATTAGTATGTGAATTTCCTAATTTGGTAACAGGATTCATTTTTTAAAAACTTTTAAGTATATTATCACTTTCTTTTTATTTCATATAGTTTTTTTAAATTTGTGAATTTTTATTTCTAATAAACACAGTAAATCTTCACTATCTGCTAAATATTAAGGGCAGAAAAGGAGTAAAGCAAGCATAGTTAGAATAAGAAACTTAGAATATAGTAAAGAACAAGAAACAAGCCTGAAGCTATTAAGAATGGCAACAGGGTTAGTAGATTAGCTTTAACTTTATAAATAATTATCTCTGTAGAAGAAACAATAATATTAATTTTTTTCATATTTAAAAAACTCATTTCATGCTGCTGGCCTGGAAACCATCATAATGGGTCATCTTGGTTGATAAGCATAATCTTACTAAAGTCACATAATGGCTTCAATTCATATTATCTTATGGCAGCTTCTGACCTAAATGAAACATGGGTAGCTCCAGGCATGTTAAATTACAGGAAACAAGCAAAAGCTGGCCTGTTATCTAGCTATAATATATGATTCCGAGTCCTAAGAGGGAAAAGATCAATCAGCATTGCTCTTATAAGACTGCAGATTGCATATTATCTTTGTTATCATAGGTTTTTGAAGGTAAGGATTTCTATGGCCTATTTTACTTCACTTTTAATTGTTGAATGATTCAGCTTTTAGCATGTGCAAAATCACTGGATTTTATTAGCCCTGAGGTGGCTTTACTATACCAACATAAACTGCATCAAATAGAGAAAAGACTTCAAACTCCATGTCAAAGTCTGTTAGTTATTTCAGAAAAAGACCTTAGTGGGCAATTCCTATAACTTATTAAGCATGTACCATATTTAAAGCCACAAAGAAACAGGTATACTTTATTGCATGAGTAACACATATTATCATTAAAATATTCTATTTCATTTGTTTAGAAAGCATTGCAGGCATACACTGCAAATACCCTGTGAAGTATTTCCAAGCAAAGAAAAATATTAAAGACCATTGAAAATCAATGAAACTTCAAGAAGCATTGATGATAAAAACATGAAAATGTGTTGCATTTATTTAAACATTAAAAACTTTTTGGAAGGTATCTGAGAAACACCGAAGCTCTGAGCATGTTCTCTGAATGAAAGAATGTTGGCTATATTCATTTCTAGGGAATATGCTATGGGTTGAACTGAGTCATGAGGATGTAGAATGGTTATGAAAGAGACCTTGCATTTAGGAGATTGCAGATTCAACTAGGAAATTGGGCATATACGTGAAAAAAATTACTTTGCAAATACGGAGAGCCAAATTAATAATAAATAACTAGAAAATAATAGCTAGAATTTTTTTAAATTTAATGTATTGACAACCCCCTGGACTCCTCTATAACTCCTGGCTTGAGTCCTATTTCAAACTAGTCAGACACCAATAACCTGAATACTGCTTCCTTCTTGAGACTATAAGCACCTAGCCTATTTCAAAGCCCTTGATAGCAGGATACTCTTGAATAGGGCCCTGACTCAGACAGGTTCAGGTGCGCCCCACCCCTTTGCAGCCTATAAGGTGGCCTGAGAGCCATCTTTCTCCTGGGCAAGGTTAGTGCTTAGCCTCCCAACCAATTTTTATGTTCTGCATTTTCAGTCAACAGCATTCACTCAATATGTTCAGCATCTTCTGGGTTCAAAGCACTGTTAGATTCTGTGGCCATTATGGTGAGCCAGCCAGCCTCAGTATATGCCCTTCTTGGAACTTGTATTCTGGGGGAGGAGATAGACATTAAAGCAACTATATGGCTTTTTAAAAATAATGTATTAGCAGCCAGGCGCAGTGGCTCATGCCTGTAATCCCAGCACTTTAGGAGGCAGAGGCAGGCAGATCATGAGATCAGGAGATCACGACCATCCTGGCTAGTACAGCAAAACCCATCTCTACTAAAAATTCAAAAAATTAGTCAGGCATGGTGGCATATGCCTGTAGTCCCATCTACTTGGGAGGCTGAGACAGGAGAATCACTTGAACTCAAGAGGTAGAGGTTGCAGTGAGCTGAGATTGTGCCACTACATTCCAGCCTGGACGACAGAACAAGATTCTGTCTTAAAAAAAAAAAATGTATTGGCTGGACACAGTGGCTCACACCCATAATCCTAGCACAGTGGCTCACACCCATAATCTGCTGGGAGGCCCAGCAAGACAGGATGATCGTTCGAGGCCAGGAGTTTGAGTCTAGCCTTTGCAACATGGTGAAACCTTGACTCTACAAATAATAGAACCTTGACATGGTGGTTGTGCATGTCCCAGCTATTCAGGAGGCTGAGGTGGGAGGATGGCTTGAGCCCAGGAGCTTAAGACCCACTTGGGCAACATAGAGTCCTGATCTCTACAAGAAAAAATTTTAAAAATTAACCAGGAGTGGTGGTGCACACCTGTGGTCCCAGCTACATGAGGCTGGGGTGAGGTGGGAGGAATATTTGAGCCCGGGAGGTCGAGGCTGCGGTGAGCCTTGTCATGCCAGTACACTCCAGCCTGGGCGACAGAGCCCCTTCTCCAAAAATAAAAAATAAATAACAAAACCCAAACCATACTGTTTCTCAAACTTAAAAGCAAATTCTTTTAAAATTACAAATATAAATCATGCTTTTGGTAATAAATCAAAAATATAGAGCTATATTGAGAAAAAGTTAATATCAGACCCAAATCCATCCAGTTTCTGATAAAATAGTTCATTATAAAGAATACAGGAGGTAAAGGAGGCTTTTGCAGGGCACCCACCTGGTGAGGGTCAGATAAGTGTTTGCTGAGGGAAGTGATTAAACTGATGTTGAAAAAAAAGGTGAGGCTGGGTGTGCTGGCTCCTGCCTGTGATCCCAGAAATTTGGGAGGGCGGCCAAGGCAGGTGATCAAGAGGTGATCTTGAGGTCAGGAGTTCAAGATCAGCCTGACAACATGGCGAAACCCTGTCTGTACTAATAATACAAAAATTAGCCACTTGTGGTGGTAGGCATCTGCAATCCCAGCTATTCAGGAGGCTGAGGCAGGAGAATCGCTTAAACCGGGGAGGCGGAGGTTGCAGTGAGATGAGATTGTGCCACTGTACTCCAGCCTGGGTGACAAAGAAACTGTGTCTCAAAAAAAAAAAAAAAATAGAAAAAGAAAAGGTAGGTGAATATAAGATCATTCCTGGCAGAGAACAGCATGAGCCAGGCCCTGAGGTGGGAAAGAGTACATCAAATTACAACCTGTGCTGCCAGACGGTATTGAAAGCAACGGGAGAGTAGTGAGATGAGAATCCGATTTTGTAGACGCTTGTGACCCAGGCTAGAGAATCTGGATTTTAATAAACATCAGAACAAAGAAAATTCATTAGAAGATTTAAAATAGAAAGCAACATGATCCTAATTGTTTCGTTAATATCATTCTGGAATGTTGGAATGCTACATGCAGAATGGATTGGAAGGTGACAAGAACAGCTGTATAAAGATCAGGGCTGGGTGCAGTGGCTCACGCCTGTGATCCCAGCACATTGGGAGACCGAGGTGGGCAGATCGCATGAGGTCAGGAGTTCAAGAGCATCCTGGCCAACACGGTGAAACCCCATCTCTACTAAAAATACAAAAATTAGTTGGATGTGGTGGTGCACACCTGTAATCCCAGCTACTGGGGAGGCTGAGGCAGGAGGATCACTTGAACCCAGGAGGCAGAGGTTGTTGTGAGCTGAGATCATGCCACTACACTCCAGCCTGGGCAACAGAGTGAGACTCTCATCCCAAGAACAAACAGAAAGAAGGAAAGAAGAAAGGGAAGGAAAGGAAGGAACAGCCAGGAGACAATTTCATTTTTACAGGCCCATCTTGAGTTTTCAGTGGGCTTTGCAAACAAGCCAAAACAAATGTGATTATGGAGAGCTGGGGCCAGGGTAAAGGTTCAGTGGCGCTTTTAAAGAAAGGTGGGCTTTAAGTAAAGGGAGAAAAGAGGAGACAATATTAACTATAATGATGGGAAGTAAAGCATATGTGTACAGCAATCTGAGGAAGCAGATTTAACATTAATTTTACAGCTGAAGAAATTGATGTCAGAGATTATGTCACATGACTAGGGTCACAGAGCTCACGTTTCAGTCCAGGATGACGGATCCTGTTGGTATGGGTTGGGATCTGGATTTGGACATTTTATTTATCTTTCTTGAGACAGAGTCTCCCTCTGTTGCCCAGGCTGGAGTGCAATGGTGTGATCTCTGCTCACTACAACCTCTACCTCCCAGGTTTAAGCCATTCTTCTGCCTCAACCTCCCAAGTAGCTGGGACTACAGTCATGCACCATCAAGCCCAGCTAATTTTTGTATTTTTAGTAGAGATGGGGTTTTGCCATATTTGCCAGGCTGATCTCGAACTCTGAACTCAGGTGATCCACCCGCCTCAGCACCCCAAAGTGCTGGGATTACAGGTGTGAGCCACTGCATTCAGCTTGGGTTTGGACATTTTAAAAGAGCTCTACCCATGATTGTGATGTGTCACCAGGGCTGAGAACCACTAGTGGCAACTGAGAAATGAAGGGGACTGAGCCTTGTGGGGTGCCCACATTGAGGGCAAGATAAATGGGAGCCACTAAAGAAGAAAAGGAGCCTTATAGGTCAATTCCTATAGAAGGTTACATACAGCAACTAGCGAAGAATTTTGAGAGGAAGAGTTTAATACAAGGAAATAGAGAAATCAAGGAAAACACAACAGACAAATATTTAGGGTTGATCAGTGGCCTCAGAAAAAGCAGTATAGGAAAAGTAGGATGCTTTGAGTCAGTGTCACTCGTGCTGAGGAATGTTTGTCTACTGACAATGCAGGCAAGAGTCCACTTTTTATGACGTGAGAAATTCAGTTAGAGCACAATTACAGGATTTCCTCCATTTGAAGGCATATGTTTTACATTTTAATATCTTGAAGTCAGGATGTGTTTTATAATAGTTGTTTATAGATGCAATGTTCAAATTT